TTAAAGGTAACGAATCGCTATATATATATATATATATATATAGATAACGATGAATAACTAATTAAAATTCCTATATATAAACATGATGCAAATTATTTGCAAATATAAAATTCTCAACTAACAATATTTTATATAGCAAGTCCTCTATAAGGATATGAGGACGGCTTGTAACACAATACTATTATGTAATTATTATTATATTTATTATTGTAATAAACTGTTAGACATAAAGCTCATATTTGATGGCAAAACATCTTGTTGCTTAACTTTAATTGAACAATGATACACACGTGCGCTATAACATATATTCGTGTCTAACAATATTAATAAAGTATTTTGTTATACTCATATCTTTGCACATACATATAGATTTCAAATACATCTTTCACTTCTTTCTTAAGTTTGTATCATACTATGCGTTGACTGATTGGCCAAATTGTAATCTCCTAATGCATAATCTGATACAGATTTACGCACCCTGTAATACAGTAATATTGATGCAAGAACGCTGAATACATATACGATAAATCAATACATGAATTGTATTGTATTGTATGAACAACGTTGTCAAGACAACCAAAGCTATAACACAGGTTAATTTGGATGGATACACTCGGCTGTTTACTTACCATCATATTCAGTGTGATAGTGTGATTTAGTGCATCATAAGTATTACGCAAGTATATGTCATCATCAAATTTTCTACTATTAGACAACTTGGAATTATTGCATCATGAATGAAAACGTGAAATTTATCGTAACAAAAATAAATAAATTAATGGGTTGGAATTACAATTTAATTGGATTCAATGCTTTAAATGCCGAAGATTTATTACAGGTATTTTATTACTGCTACAAACAGGTTTATTGTGGCATTCACATAACATACAATGTATATACATGTATGTTTTCTTCTAGATATTATGCAATGTTTTAATAAAGATACAACAACAAGATGATTTAGATACCAATGCTAGAGTGGACTCTCCGGAAGAAAATTCTATATATATTTTAACAACTCTCCGAATGCTCAATTATCAGCCTGATGTAGATCCTGTAACTTTTAGGTACATTCTATTGCACATAAAGAACAAAATATTAACATTTTATCTGTTCTATTACATCTTTCAATATATATATATATATATATATACAGTGCGTAATATAAAATGCACAAAGAAATAAATAAATTGTTCAGGCAAGGTTTAGTTCGAGGTGAGGTCGAAATTATCCATCCTATATTGACATGGCTTTTGACACATACCGACATAGTTCAGAAAAGGGCATACTTGTCACGATTTCTCGTCAAGGTAATATACCAAGCGAGTTATTTTTCGAACGCGGTATGCGTTTGTATAGACTAGATATGTTGACAAAAAAATAAATTTTTTAAACCATTAGGTAGAAATTCCATCGGAATATTTAGGAGACTCGGAAATACTCTCTTTACACGATCAGTATTTGTCTTTAGTCGACAGATTCAAGACGGTTCATAAAGAAAGGGAAATGGGAAAGAAGGTATGTATCATCAGGAATATCTCTAAAGGGTTAATGATGCGTATATGCGTCATATGACCAATGCTCATGACACATAATATATGCATTATGTCGTAAAAAAAGTAATTTTGCAACTATCAATTTTCGCAAAGCATGTTATTCTTAAATTAACACGTTATCGGAATTCCAAAACTTTGACTGCAAAACTCAGTTTATCAAGAAACAATTTTTATGTAATTTAAATTATTTCCTCATAGAAATTATTTTAAATAGTACGAAATTTGTATTTCTTAACTGAAAATAGTATGATTTATCACATGCGAGTTACGTAATGACCCTTATTTATACAGAATGTTGAAACTGCCGCCGAACTTGCAATGGATTTACAAGCAATGACAAAGGAAAAAGAAGTATGTAATTAATACTTTTCATTGTGTAACGTATAAATATATCTTTTTTCACATCATCGAGAACTAAAAAATAATTATAATTTTAAATAATAATAAATGTCAATTCAGTATTCGCTGAATATTCAAATTGATCTTTTTTACAAATGTAGGCAGTGATAGCGCGTATTAGTAAAATCAAAGCAAAAGCTGAACCTGCGCTGTATCTATTGGACACCTGTAGATTATTACGAGTAGAGAGGGACAAGGAACGCGATTTGATGTCGCAAAAAGAGCAAGAGGAAAATATTATGTCCGATTTACAAGTATATTTCTGATTTTGAAAAATTCTAGACTTTTGTTAGAGAGAAAAATTAACTCGTAGTTTGTAAATGTTTCTCTACAATCTTTATTCTTGTTACATACAGAATTCCTTCCATCGGGTTGAACGCGAGTTATATATTTTGAAACGCGATAGTACCGGGCTCACGCCGCAAATATTAATCCAACATTTAACAGAAGAGGTAACAGTGCAATTTGCAATTGTGAAAGAGAAGCTTCCGTCTGAGCTAAACGCAAAGAAGAATCGAATGAGAGCTCTGTCAATAGTTAAAGGATATTCTTATCTAGGCCCGGATAAAATTATAGCTATGAGAAACGATTTAGACACTATATTGAAGGACATACAAGATTTAGTAGAATCCAAGGTACATAACGATTTATGAATCGTGTGTGTGTAACGAGTTCAATACTAACAAAATGATTTACCTACTATAAAAATACATTCTTTTCACAAATCTTACCTGCTCCTTGCAAATACTTTCAGACATCTAAAAATGATATCGATAAAATGGAGCCATTTAGACAGCAAGCCGCTGTCGTCGGAAATATGAAGCGGAATGCTCTCGAACGTTTGGAAAAAGTTGAAAGTTTGTTAGAGGAATTACAATTGCGGTTAAAAGAGAAACAAGATTATTCGAAAAGTTTATTGGAAATGTCGATGCCCAGAGCGGAGGAATTTAAAAAATATGTCAATCGTTTGAAAACTAAAAGTGCAGTATACAAGCGCTGCAAAGCAGAGGTAGCTGGCTTAAAAGCGGAAAGTGGAGTACTTTATCGAACAACAACTATTCTAAGCAGACAGGTTTGTTGGAACAGACAAGTTCCAGTCTCTCAAATGAATCGATTATAGAATTAATATATTATTGCTTTTTTCGCTGTGTTATTGTGATTTCAGATCATTACTCATTCTTATCCGACAGACGTTTCATCCACAATAATAATTCCAGAAAACTATACACTGGATAATGCGTTGGCAACAAATACTCAATTATCTCATTTGATAGGGGCTTTACGAACCAATCTTGACCCAATAATAAGAGGTAACAACGACGCTTTCTGTATAAAGTTCAAGAATGTTTGTTCATAATTAAATGTCAATCAATTAGAGCTTACGTTCGAATTATTCGAACTCGACGCTCATTTTCTTTTTACTTTGAACAGTTTGAGCATACAAAATGTTCGAATTTTTGTCCGAGTTCTGGTATAAATTTGCATATTTATATATGTACGTGAATTTTGTAGAAAAAAAGTGTGCTAGAAATTTGCCATTTATATAAAATAATCATGTATATCTCGTAGATATCAAGACACTACGGCAAGTAGCGTATGAAATTGATGAAAGATATCAAAAAGCATGTAAAAGTCATAATACGGTGGAAACGAGTATGAAAAATACGACAAGTGATTTATTATCCGAAACAAAACGACTGAAGGACAAATTATCAAAGGTAATTCTTATATAAACGAATAGTTCATGATAAAATAATTTCGCGTTGTATTGTAGAATACTGAAGATAAGAAACAATTACAACTAAAGATTGCAAAAATGAAAAGTATCGAAGAAAGGCTACGTAATGAAACGGAGGTGACTATTTGCTACGAAATAGCAATATTGATATCCGCATTAAAATTTACAAAAACGCTTCTTTTTAGTCTAATGTTGTTTCCAACGTGGGGCAAACGTTAAAACAGGAATTACACAATGCAATCGCGTTAGAAGAAGAAACTTTAACAAATTTAAACAAAAATCAAGAGAAAATAAAGGAACAAACTGTACAATATGAAAATCAAACGCAGCAATGGAATAATATCATGTCGTAAGCAATATTATAATATTTTAAACATATATATATATATGGATACACCCTGTACATCATCACAAAAATATTTACATGTTTCAGAATTTTTTTATGTAAGATCCAATGTGCTGAAGAAAGTAAGCAGACCGATGGCATAGTTATGCGAAGAGGAGGCGCCGAAACTCTTGTGTTGCAATAATTGTGTTAACACTTTCGCAGTCACTCACGTATTTTTATGTTTACATTTTGGTATAAGTCAGGTGCCGATCTGTTTTCTGTATCATTGTATTAGGTCGTTTAATATGAAATGTCGGATTTTATATAATATAGAGCGACTCTAAACGTTGAGCAGAGTCGAATGTATAACGGTTACGAAAGTGTTAATATTTAATACGTACACTTTTACAAGTAGTATAGGATGCAAGCACTAAACTCAAGAAATATTTTAAATGTAAAACAAAAAATAAATATACTAAAAATATACTCTGATCTCTATGTTATTTTATTTTTGTATATGTAATCATGCACTTTCTCATCATAGTTTGCGATACATGCAAAATTTTTTTTCGAAAATTAATAGACCTAAATTCAAGATTAAGAACTGACATCATCTTTTAAACGACCTCTACGGGAACCTCGGCTCGTTAAGATGTATGAGTCAGAGACAAAGGGAAAGGAAGCTGATCGCCTCGAGGCAGTTAAATTGTAGACAGAAACGCAGTCTCACTTCATGCGTGAATAACGTGTCATGTTCAAGCACTAATTCTGTAACTGAATTTTTAATTCTAAATTTCACAAAAAAAGTCATATTTTCTTAAAAACAAATTTGAACGCAGCTCTTAGTGTTTATGACACATCATGATAGTGAAAAATCAGTTTTTCACAGTTTTGGTGATTACGTTGTTATTGCTATTTATTGGTAAGCTTTATTCGCTATTTAATCGTAAAATTCTTTTAAGAAGAAAATTAAAAAAAGTTAAATATATATCACAAATTACAAAAAGGAAGTTTCTAAATACGTAAATACGGCGGAGCTATCATGCTTTAATGATTTTGAAAAAAATTATAAGATCAATCTGCAGTTGAACAAAAATGTGATAGTTTTCAAAGTTTTTGTGTCTTTTAGTAAAATTTGTAATAGATGTTTAATAGTAGTAAACAATTATAAATACAAAAAATTGTATAAATATTAATGAACAAAGAAATTATTGAAATTTAAGAAGAAAGTAATTTTTAAAAACATATCACTCATTATTATAGTAAGAACTAGATTTCTTAAAGAGAATTTTGCTATCTCAATGACCGTTATGACCTAATGAGCATGATAACATTGAAAAAATAAGCCGATCCAGATTTACACATACAAGAATGTAATATCTGATTTTCAATTTCGTATTTCCATTTAATATTTTCGCGAAACATTTTTACATCTCGAAATCAGTAATTTTTTACTTCAGAGTTCAAAGCAAGTTGTGCATTGAACATATATTGGGTTGGTCGAAAAGTTTTTTAGTTTTTTTCAATTTTATTTTTACAAAAAAGAATTAAAGAAAATTTCTAGACAAGCCGATGCATTGTTTCCTAGAGTAATATATATGTACAATATAATATGTATGTTATAGATTGTTTTATCGTCCCGGCGTTCCTAAGATTTTAATAACTTGGATTTATTGTTAAGGAAACGGTGAAGCAGGATGGAAGTTTTGGAAAAAAGACCAAGAGACCACCACTATGACTACTATTACATCGACTTCTATAAATATACAACCTACTGCAACCACGACAAAGGCCACAATGATCAGAGGATCGACGATGCCAGCTGTTGACACAGGAACCGCTGTAATAGGAGCTGCTAATCCGGGGAACGGACAAAATAACGTACGACTTAATCGGCCCAATCCAGGGACAGAAGTCGGCTTAGACATTGCCGTTCCGAGGCCAAATACACCAAGAATCGGTGATAGAAATGATCAGAGTTATCGAAATTGGGCCATAGAATTTAGTGGTGCTGGGGAACCATCGAAAAATCAGTCACCAAAGCTACCTGCTCAAGGACAAGCGATTAATAACGGTGATCGAGCGCAGCCCAGTAATCTACCAGGTTAAGATTCTGTAAAAGAGAATTACGTTGACAATTAACTTTGATACTTACAAATCGCGAATTTTTATATTTTAGAATCTAGGTCAACATCCATTCGACCGTCAATTCAACCAACTCAACCATCAGTCGCAGGTTTCTATTATTCGATTTCAAATTTGAATAATCGTGTGAAAATTCTTTGTCACGGAAATTAGTTTAATTGAATTTTGCAGATGCAAGATTAAGAAACACGCCTCAATCACTGTTTCAGTCGACAAATACAGGTTCGTAATTGATGATAAAATCAAGATTTAGAATGTGAAAAAAATTGTTAGGTAAAATATAACAATTTTATGCATTGAGACCGACCTTCGTACAAACACATGTATCCACATACATATATGTTTGTCCATTTCTGATATTATTTCTTTGATAAAGCAAAGAAAAACTGACATATACCTGACAGATCCTACTACAGCGGCTTCGGTCAGAGTCAATCAGAACAAGCCAGATACGCCTTCTGCTCCGAATCCCGGAAGAACTTGGGCCGAAATCGCCGCCACTGGTAGCAGACCTGCGTCGCCTACGGACTCTCCGAGGCAGCCGGAATATCCCAGATATCCGGTTTCAGGTATTTCAACAAGCCCAAGTATACCAGGATAGATGAAAATCGTAGAAAACATTAAAACTTACACCTGTCAAAACTTACACCATTTTGTTGTTCGTTGACTTTGAGTCTACAATATTGTATCTCGATCGATTTACGAAATATTACAAAATATATATATTAAAATAAAAATATAAATTAACTCTAGATACTATATCAAAATCAATAAACAACAACATAATGGATATAAATTTCACCTTATGCCACAGATTCAGATGTAATTTGGGATAAATTTTGAAACATGATCCATTAACTAAAACAGTGCAACAGACAGATTCATGCATTTTATGTACATACTTGAATTAGGCGAGAATGAACGCAGGACCACGCACACAAGACCATCACGACCCAGTCAACCTAGTCAACCTAGTCAATTTAGTCGTACAGAATCACCAGGAGCTGGTGTTACCGTCGCAGGTGCTACCACCGAAGCGGCTGGTGCTGCAAACCGTGTACTAGATTCACATGGGAAAGCGTATTCCAGTAATCCGACATATAGCAAAGGAAATACAGTTACTGATGAAGATTTAGAAAAGCTTTCCGAAGCACTTTACATCAAAGAAGCAAACAATCCAAATCGATATATAACAATCAATCTGCAAAAACAGACTACCAGCAGCAGTCCAACGGATGAAGCACCGCAACCGTAAGAATAATAATTAAATATACGTGTATATTGATTTCATCAAAAAGTTTCTTTGGATTTTGCGATAAAAATAAAAAGCAAAATTTATTAATCGTATATTTGCAGATTACTTGGAGTAAGTTCGGAAGCTTTGCAGATTCCTACGATTCAAAGAGTTCTTTCCATATTCGACAATTATCAATTAGACACTCGCATGAACGAGTATATCAATCCAAATCAGAGACAGGAGGAGAGTCTCCTTGTCGATACTTTTTTAAGTACAAACATAATGTCCGCTGCCATGCGTTTTCTCGCGGATAAAGGATTTGTAAGGAAGGATTATTACGAGTATAAGGATACATTAAGGAAAATTTGGTTCGATCTATTCTCACGTGGACAAGGCAAAATCGGTAGCACTGGATTCGAGCACGTCTTTATGGCGGAAACAAAACAAATGGATACAAATACGGAAATACTTGGACTACACAATTGGATATATTTTAACGCAGAAGAGTCGAGGAATCATGCCAATTACCTGGGTTATATTAAAAAAGTCGATATAGGAAATGTAAGAGTAAATTTTATACAAGTACTTACAGTTTTTGTTTGGTTGCGCGTGTGTACATTTTGCTTTACGATATCCAGCGATGTAAACGTAGAAAGTAGTGTTAATGCAAGTGCTCCTCTTTCTTCATACAGAAAGGATCTATTATCAAGATGCATGCAAAATTCAAGGGTCATGACAAACCAGTCACCACTATGTTTATCGGAACCTCGCCCGAATTAGAAATGGCACTCTACACCGTCTGCTTCCACGTAAGACCGGATGGAAATTGTCCTGTTTCTCTAGGCGGTACCAAGTTCAACATAGTAACACGCAAATTCAAATACCGAGGAAAGGATTTGGTCGGAACGGCGTATCCGGAAATTTAAATTTTATACGAATATATATGCGCTGAATTTATATGCGCAAGGTACATGGATAATTATTTCTTTCATACTTGACAAATAAAATAAAAATGTTGTTGTTATATACATTTATATCTGAGAACACGAAATAAATATAACCAATTATATAATAAATAGTTATATTAATTTTTTTAAATTGTGTTGACGCATGGGATGAACTTAACCCTAACCTAACCTAATCGCTCCGTTCGTTCGACAACCACGTACTGACTCTGGAGTTACTTACCTTTTCTATTTATATCATTTTTGCTCACCCACAAGGATTGGACTTTCTCAGTCTGGAATTTCTCGCAATCAAAACATGACGACACGCATTCCTTAAATTTTCTTGCTTGAAACTTTATTATTGATCAAAATTCCAATCGCGAATATAATGCGCGAACCGAACAACGAGAAGAGGGAGAGATGTATCAAATAATTTTCTCCATAAAGTTTTCTCACACATGGAAAAGTGCGATAAATGTTCAATATTACAAAATCTCTTTATGCAGTAAAAGTCATAAAGAGACCAAAGTAATGAATAGTATACTAAATATCTTTATATATCTTCCACAAAGATAATCGAGAAAACGAGATAAATAAAGAGCGTAAACAGATAAGGAACGCAACAAATTGAAACAGCACGATACACAGTAATATAACAGACTTCGTAGAGGGGAGAGGCTCTTATGCGAGTTAATAAAACAGATTCAGCGAGAGTCTCGGGCTTACAATGCGATAAATCTATTATTGCGGTGATATTATATCGAGAATGTACGCGATCAAGAGAATTGTGTTGAAGAAAAAAAACCTGCGTTTTCAATGGAAATGGTCAACATGTTGTGTTAATATTCAATCATATCACAGCGAGAATGGCGTTTATGGATACAAGCCAAGTCAACGAAGGCACTTTGAAGGTATTCCGCCTTTGAAAGAAAAATTAAAAGTAACAATGGATTTATTTTATTGAAAAATTATTAAAATGCGCACAAAGCGCATTTGCCTGTAAAATGTTTGCTTAGGATGCTGTAAAAAATGAGATTGCAAACAGGAAGACCAGTTAGGAATATAACATATCTAATTAAACTATTTATTAAACACAGATTTATCAGATACGACAGAAAATTGAATGCAAACTCACGAATGCGTGCATTATGATTCACATTTTAGATTCTTTTCACAATAGGAATATATTCGCGTAATAGATAAATAAAACAAAACGACTTGTGAAGTTTAATTTATTCAACAATATCATATCAATATGTATACTTATCTTCGCTTATAAAATACGCTACTACGCTTATATGAAAGCATAGCCAAAACGCATTATTTTTATCTAATATTATTTTATAATATTAATTTTATTTAATCCGCGCTTAAGAGTTATGACGTATGTTTTAATGTAATTATTATTTACCTTTTCCAGTGCCGAAAAAATATTTTGATAAACGAGCAAAACAGAGTAATTTTTATAGACTAGTCAGTGCGTATAGAGCTCATGGACATAAACAAGCTGACATAGATCCCATTTCAACGAACGAACCATTGTTCTTGCCTGAGTTGCAACCAAAAAATTTTGGATTGAACTTGATGGATAAAGTCTCTTTTCAAGAAATTCTATTTACACAACAGAATGAAGGAACAGTGGAAGAAGCCATTCAATTTTTAAATGCTACTTACAGTGGTAATATTGGAACTGAATTCAGTTATCTTGAGGTAAAATTTCCAAATTCGTACAGCTTTCCGCTATTGTGCACAAAATTCAATGATGCCTTTCTAACATTACGACTGCGTTCAAAATGATATGTTCGAAATTATCTAAAAAGTAAATTGTTATCTACTGTAATATTCTTGTTTTGTAATAAAACAAATCACGCGATAAGACTGTTGATAAGAGATTGCTCTCTCAATCGAGTAGACGGAAGAAGAGAGGGAATGGTTCGCTGAAAACGTGGAAAGAACATTAGCCGAACCATTGGACGATGAAACGCGCAAAACGATAGCCATAGAAATGCTGAAAAGTCAAGCATTTGACAACTTTTTGGCCAAAAAATTTGTAAGTCTAAAGAGATATGGAGGAGAAGGAGCAGAGAGTATGATGGCTTTCTTTCATGAATTTTTCAAGTTATGCGCTCGTGGTAATTAAAAAGAACATTAAACTAGCCTAATTAGATATTTCTTTGTTGACTAAAAAAGAAGATTAATTTTCCGTAATTTTTTTGTTTATTCAATCCGAATATGACCTTAAAAAATGCATATCACATCGCTACACACATTCGGGCTGAAATTAAGTAGAATTAATTCGTTTATATTTTTTAGATTTTTGAGAGTGCTACTCGAAAATTTTGTGTGATGGACAATCATGAAAAATCGAAAAAAATTGAAAAGTTATGCGAAAAAACAAAATAAAATCTATTAAAAAAAAATTAGCATTTTAAAATTGAAAATGGTTATTTTAACATAATATAAGAAATTGTTTTCGGAATATCGTTGTATATGACAAAAATCACCATTATGACATAAATCTTCTTGGATTTTCTCAAAAGTCCATCGCACTATATAAGGCTGAATTTTAAATTCAGTACATGAAAACTATAGAAAACTACTCTTCTTTCCCAAACAATGTTTAACGATACTAACTTTGCTAGTTAGAATTCAAAGTATCTTAACAAATTGCTGTATGCTGTTATATACATATCACAACCGTCAGTAAATAAAATTATTCATTATTATACTATCATTCCAGATAATTTGGAACATATCATTCTTTGCGCGGCACATCGCGGCCGCCTTAATCTATTAACAGGCTTGCTAAACTTTCCTCCAAATAAATTATTTCATAAATTACGAGGACTTTCCGAGTTTCCAAATGCAGATAAATGTACCGGAGACGTGATTAGCCATCTTACAAGTTCCACCGATCTTAACATAGGACAAAAATGCCTTCACGTAACCGTGCTTCGAAATCCGTCGCATTTGGAAATAGTAAATCCAGTGTCAATGGGTAAAACGCGAGGAGTTATGCAGGCAATTCAAGAAGCTGCATATGGTGAAAATAAAAATGCACAATGGAGCGATAAAGTAATAAACATCCAAGTAAGTTGCAGATTGCGCGTAGTTATCCAAAATTTTTAGCACATCTAATATTACTTTTTTTCAATCACAATGTTTCAATACAATGTATATTTGTGCCATTATTCAACATTTCGAGTGCTCAGGTACATGGGGACGCTGCCTACCCGGGACAAGGGGTTAACCAAGAATGTTTAGCTTTGTGTCGAACGCCACATTTTGAAATCGGTGGTACGATACACTTTGTAATCAACAATCAGTTAGGGTTCACGACTCCGTCTTCGAGGAGCCGATCGTCAAGATACTGCACAGATTTAGCAAAAACTATATCCGCGCCTGTAATACACGTAAACGGTGATAAACCTGAGGTGTGTGTTGTAAAACCTATACTTTTTAGAAAAGTTTCTATATAAAGCTTGACCATTCACTAAGCAGTGATACAACAATTCTGCAATTATAATGTTAAAATATTTGCAGATGGTCGTGCAGGCAGCAAGAATAGCTTTTCAATATCAGAGACAGTTCAGGAAAGATGTTTTCGTTGATTTAAATTGCTTCAGAAAGTGGGGGCACAATGAACTAGACGATCCCGTGCTCACTAATCCTATTATATATAAAATTATACAAAATCGATTGTAAGTATAAATCCCTCCCTTAAAAAAATGCATGTATTTTTGGCAATAAAACGTTTTTATCTCTTAACAGTTAAAGAATTAATAGAGAAGATAATCAAAAGCAAATTATCAAAATTGCACAAATGTTTTATTTAATATAGATCTATACCGGATCAATATGTAGAACAACTAGTAGGTGCCAATGTTTTTACTCGAGAAGATGTTAATAATATCATCAATAGTCACACCGCATGGTTGAACGAAACTCTAAAAGAATCCATGATGGATGTGCCGCAACAGACAGCCATGCACTTTGCTGGAAGGTGGAACGGAATGAAACAAGCTGAATCTAATATAACATCATGGGATACTGGCGTTGAGTTCAATCTGTTAGATTTTGTGGGGAAGAAAAGCGTTCAAGTACCTTCAAACTTTGTAAGAATGGATAAATACACATTCTAGAATCACTATGAATTATCAATATAACATTACAATAAAATTTCTATCTAGCATGAGTTCCAGACCCCGGAATCATTAATGAAAAATATGCATTTATTTTTACGCATTAAAATTTAAGCAGTAGCTTATTTTTCGAAATACTCTTTTCACGTTTTTCAATACACTTCTTGTAGCAGTCTGACGGGTTTTTGATTTTTCAAGAAAAAATCTCTCTTGCTTGGGGAAAAAAATAACAATTTTTTTTCTAACATCAAAGGACATTCATCCACAATTGGTGAAAAGTCATATTCAAAGTCGCCTAAGAAAGCTTCAAAGCGGTAACACCTTAGACTGGTCAACCGCTGAAGCGTTAGCCATTGGTTCCCTGTTACATCAAGGATACAATGTGAGATTAAGTGGACAGGACGTAGGCCGCGGAACTTTTTCACAGAGGCACGTGATGTTCGTAGATCAATCAACAGGAGGTATGGGTGTCGTAAAGCTTGACAATAATAAAGTATAAGTATTTGCAATATCTTGAATTTAAGACTCACGTAAATTTTCAGCTACTTTTATTCCATTAAATTCTATGGTAAGTTGCCAAGTTGGCAAACTAGAGATAGCTAACAGTATTCTATCCGAGGAAGCTGTACTAGGGTTCGAGTATGGTGTAAGTATAGCATCACCGTTTACGTTGCCTATATGGGAAGCTCAATTCGGGGATTTTTTCAACGGAGCACAAATCATTATCGATACATATGTAACGAGTGGAGAAGCAAAATGGTTGCTGAGCAGTGGTCTAACAATGCTTTTACCACATGGTTATGATGGTGCTGGTCCGGAACATAGTTCATGTAGACTCGAAAGATTTTTACAATTAACTGACAGTAAGGAGAATGAAGTCGACAGCGATAATATTAATATACAGATTGTGAATCCTACTGAACCAGCACAATATTTTCATTTACTGAGAAGACAGGTAAGAAAATCAAATATATCACTCTAAAGTTAAGAAACATTCGTAAACATTTGTATTGTGACAAACTGTCGACATTTAAATGAAATTTCAAGATCTTGGATTTATAGATGGTAAGAAATTATCGAAAACCCCTGATCGTGGTAGCGCCCAAGATCTTATTGCGTCATCCGGCAGCAATATCATCTCTATCAGATTTCGAGCCTCGAACGAGCTTCAAAACTATTATCGGTACGTTGTATTCTTCATTTTCTGCTTTCCAAAAAATATTATCAATAATAAAATTTTAATTTTTATATTTAATTTGTATTACAAAAAAATGAAAAAACATTTTGCACAAAAGCGGATCTAAGACTTCTCGTAATGTTTGACAGTAACTTGGAAAGAAAGTTTCCATAAAATCTCTTCCCAAAATTCTTCCAAACCTAATTTTTTTAATGTTTATCAAAAAATTTTTATTTTTTTTTTAAGTCTAAAAAACGCATACCACAAGTTTCGTCAAACTTCTTAGTAATAGCACGATATATTTAGTATATGTAAAATTGTACAAGACATTTTTTATGCAACACAAGCGTCTTCTTGTATGAATTTTACAGGAGACAATAAAGTAAAACATTGCGATGTAAATAAAGTCATTCTGGTCAGTGGAAAACATTATTATGCGCTTGATAATTATCGAGAGACTACCGGAAATAAGAATGTAGCTATTATCAGAATAGAAAGTTTATGCCCATTTCCTGTACACGAATTACTAGAAGAAATTACTAAGTACGCACACGCGAGAAGTAAGTATTACACAATCAAATAGTTTAATTATATTTAAATGTATATTAGGTTGGTGTAAAAAATTTGTCGTTTCTCCTTTTCAAGATCTATTTAAAAGAAAGTTATCGATCTCCATTCTGCAAGCTCGAAATTTTTTAAATTGAGCAAAAAAAAATTTGTTTTCGAATGAAAAAAATATTTTGAAATCAGTGATGACTATTACAGTTTATAAAAATTTATTTGAAATTGCAGTATTTCTGTCTTCAATCTTACTTGACGAATGTAACGAAAACATGATTGTTTTTGCATAAAAATGTTTTAGGACTTTTACACTTATATTTTTAGCTTTCATCTGGAGTCAAGAAGAACCACGAAACATGGGTGCGTGGACTTTTGTTAAGCCACGTTTCGAAAACTTATGTGGACGACAAGTAAGTTATATTATGTTGCAGAAATTAGTGTGTGGGATTATGACATCAAAGTATCGATCTTTCCTTCCAAATCACTCCCTTTCTGATGATTTCCGTCTAGTCGCAGTTATGTGAATTGTTTGTACGTGCAATTTCCGTATCAAAGAGATTTTCCTGCATTCAAACTTTAACGGAGCAAAAATCGGCTTCAAGTTTCAAAAAACTTGTTTCCGTATTGTAGATTTGTGATCATTTCAACATTTATGTTTCATAAGATAATCGATTATCATTTTCAGTTAAAATATTGTGGTCGAGAAACCATGGCAGCGCCAGCTGTAGGAGACGGACTAATACATCAGCGAGAAGCTAACGAAGTTATTGTTACACCATTTACAATGAAATAAAGATCGAAATATATTACTGCAACAAATTGATCATATATTCTAATATACAATTAAGACAATGCACATAGTGCTAAATAACAATATATTCTACCATATTTTTACTTTCAATGATGTCACAAAACTCATATTTTCATATTTGGATTTTTTATTCGGATCAGAAATCAAATAATGTCTGATAATTAACGTCTGCACAATAGTATAATTTCCCCTTTCTCTCTCACTCTCTCTAATAGTATAATTTCTAATGGTATTCTATACATTAACATTTGTATTATCTAACTTTCAGCTTTGAAGAAACAATCAAATATATCAACAAATGAATACATTCAACTGCACGTTAGATATCATTTTAGTATTCTAACAGTATTTTTGTCACACACCTACCTTGAATAAAACTTCAACTTCCCAGCTTCTTGAATCAACATAAAATATCGATAAAACGACGATTTTTTTCCCTCAAAAAGAAATTCCACTTATCCATTATCATTGTAACATTTTATCAGTCGATCAATTGTCACTTCTGTTTCCTGAATTCAAACTTTCGTGCTCTCTTTGTATAAGAGCTTGCAAATCATCCTAAAATTATGAATTGCTTATTATTCTTGTTACGTACAAAAATATATTTTACTTGTATTAATATAAAAAAAAATGTGAAAAATATTAAAATGTGCAGATATAATCCCTTAACTGTTAAGAAATAAACATGCTTTATTATCAAAAATTGTATCTACACAAACCAGGTTTATGTAAAGATTGCGTATTGTATTCGAGGATTTTTCAGACGCTAATTTTACATATGCATTCAAAATGTTGGAATTCAGATTCGTGAATAAGTGAAAAACATCTTTTATGAAATGGCGGGTCACATGGGTCATTAATACTTATATATATATATATATATATACGCATCATTAACACTTAAGGGATTGGATTCACATTTTGTCTAAACAAATATAAAAAGATGTAAAAGTTTTACCCTCCAGCCAAGTTTGTCCGCTAGCAACTGACAACCTGCATCGCAATCACCTAACCAAGCTACATCGCGTCCACCGTGAGTATTCCTAGAGTCAAACACCAGACCTTGTCGTAGTCCTAAGAAGCGCGATAGACGATCTTGCATACCTACTTTTTCATTGTTGATAAGTAGGCGTGGGCAAGTAGTTCGCACTCTTAAAAAGATGTTCAAAAGATAAATAAAATAAAATTTGACTTGTTTTTAGAAAAATTTAAATAGAAAATTTAAACAAACAAACCAATGCAAACCAACATAATATTTTATAGTTGACATTTATTTCGATTAGAAACATCGAATAGAAAATTCAACTAAAACTGAAAAATTACACTGTTTATCATAGTGTCGATACTGTATCATTACGCAAATATTTGCACTTGCCACTATTGATTTGTTTGCTTTTATATAAGATTATTTTAAAAATTGCTTCTCTCTTTTTCTCTCTCCCCCTTCCTCCCTTTCATCTTCTTCTATTAATTAATTTTTAACATTATTCTTAAAATTTGTATACCTGTCTATTAGTGATGCAAAAGGTTGCACCACCAAACTGGATCCCATGATAATTAAAAGATCAGCTTGAACGAAATCTCGATCGGCAAGTACTTGAAATCGTTCGGGTAACATTTCACCGAAAAAGATTATGTCAGGTTTTACGATACCTTCATTACATTCTTCACATTTCGGTATTATGCCTCCCATTATTTTTTCTATAATTTAAAATTACTTAAAATTAGTATTTTTGATCAATGAGACACTAATATCCTTATTTGTATATGCATCTTTTCAAAAGTTTTTCCAAGTTTTAAATCTTTTCTGTCCCTAACACACTGCATAATCAAAATTAATAGATGTACCTTTTTACGCCACATTACAAGCATTTAGTATAAATAAAATAACCATCAATAACATCATTGTAACTCTAGATCTAAAATTTCTTGTATTTAGAGAAAACCGTTAATCGTAAATTATTTCATTACGTAAATATAATTAAGTATTGATTAAATACTCGCAGAAACAATATAAAGTGTGTGGCATAACTTGAACGATTTTTTGTTAATAAAAATAAATAGTGAACATGTGAGCAACATATATAATAAAAGCGCACGCGCGTGTGTGTTTGAGATCTATTTGAGATAATTTTAACAAATTATCCATAATAATTGACCAAAGAATAGAAATATTATAAATTATACCTTTCATCCATGAAAGTGTATATGGCGCTCGACATTTAAGACAACGACCAGTGTGAAATGTTCCATGAGCTTCCACTAGTTTGTCAGAAGGAAGTCCAGCTATACGTTCCAAAGTATCGATATTTTGCGTATAATGTCGTAATAATAGACCTTTCTCCCATAACAAACGAATAAAATAATGACACGTCGTCGGTTTGAAACCTTCTGGCATCAAATCCCTTGCAAGTGTAAAGAATGGTTCAGGATTCTTCATAAAAAAATCTAATTCAAAAATAGCCTGTGGATGGGGTAAATTATATTTCTCTAATTTATGATAAAGTCCACTAGATGGAGACCGAAAGTCTGGTATTCCAGCAGCTATAATAAAAAGATTTCACGTTACTTATGTATACACTTGTTGCATTAATATGAACATTGTTATATATCACATAATATATTATATTATATTTTGTAATTAAAAAATAACAATGTCTAATTGTGTCATGTTTTATATATATAATGCAAAAGTCTGCATAAAATATGGCTTTAAATATGTACTCACAGGTAGAAATGCCAGCGCCTGCCATAGTAATAATTTTGCAATTTGTATTTTCTTTAATATATTCGACAATTCCATCTAAACTGAGTTCACGCAAAATTCTTTGCGATTCATCTCTCTGATCATTCCCTGAGAAATCGATAAGTCTCAACTTTTGAGCTAAATATCTACCTAATCTTTCCATCTCTGAATAATCCTCTGTCTCAGATGATTTAGGAGAAATGTGTGGCTTTTCTTCATCTGGATTCTTATCTGAAATAAATAAAGAGCTTTGTACAATATACAAACTATGCATTGTAGTTTAAGAACAAATATTTTTAATCACAATGACACTATTAAAAACAGATTTACACTACAAATTTACATAAAGATTTCTTATAAGTTTCCTATCTATATACATATTTTCCAAAGTAGCATAAAATTGTATGATAAATAGACATGAATTGATCGTTGTGTCGTCAAAGTAAAGTTCAAAAACTTGATTAATTAATTTAATTAGTATAATCAGTATCCTACCCTACACATTCCATAAGTTGTTTTTAGACACATATGTTTTATTACAATAATGAATATTTGAATATGAAACGAAAGTTAATTAATTTGCATATTATCGATAACAGACGATAATACTGAGAAAAAAAAGGGAAAAGAGAGAATATAAAAAGTAGACGTTTACATGATCGCGCTCACAGCACGTCTTCCATATACTTCTCGTTTCTTCGTAACTGAAAAAAATTATCCGCACTAATTCGTTTGAAAATTACCTCTTCGATCTTCCTTAATTTCCTTGTCCATATTGCAACTCAATGCAATAGTACGATTAATATACGGTTTTGTAAAATACGATTTGCATGTATGTATCAACGATATGTTCACTCGATGGATGAGAGATAACGCGTATAATTTTGATAGAAAGCTTACGCGACAAAATAAATTTATTCGTGATGCCACGATTATTTTCCCTCTTCGAGTGTTGCGATTTACATTTTTAAGAGGATTCTTATTTTGTCATGGTGTAGTGTATGCAAAACAATACGCAACTCCCGTATATTTCAACGAGTCACTTTTGGGTGTTTTTCATAACACTACGCAGTAGTTAGGGCCATTCTACAATGCCCCATAACCAGAAATAGCACTTTTCAATTAGAAGTTGCCATTCTTCGCAACTGGCGACGGGGCATTTACGACTTAGGCTGTATCCCCATGGAGAAAGAAATAGCGGAACGGAACAGTAGTTGAAAAGAGCTATATTTATCATATCTCTTTTCCTCTACTATTCCGTTACTGTTCCGTTCCGCTATTTCTTTCTCTATGGGGATACAGCCTTAGGCCGGTTCTACAATAATAGCGTTTTCGATTATACAGGATTTGAACGACCCAGGGTTGGTTAATGACGTCATTGCAACCTCTCCACCAATGAAAGACTTGCATTTATAGTAAAATAGTGATTTGATCAACCCTGGGTCGTTCAAATCCTGTATAATCGAAAACGCTATAAGTGTCACCCTGTATACGCTATAATTTTCCATCTAATAGGAACCAAAATGGCGGATGAGAATACCTACATATCTAGTGCCTTACTAAAACTGATACCGATCAAAAATACTCTTAGGGCGGTATTCATAGTCCGTTCTTATATTTAAAATCGTCTTAAGCACGGACTTATATTCGCTCTCTTCGTCACACATAGATTGTGTCTGACGAAGAGAGCGAATATAAGTTCGTTCTTAAGACGATCTTGAATATAAGAACGGACTATGAATACCGCCCTTATTGTCGTAATTTTTGTTTTCAGGTTAATATGTTTTTGGGATACGTTGTGATTTCTTTCGGATGCAGTTATATATTAACCTTAATGGCAGAAATGCCGTATATCTCGCTAATGCAAATGTATACTCAATCTCGCGGTGGAAGAAAATAAAAAGAGTGAAATTGTAGTACCGCATACAGAATTGTGAAATGCTGTAATGTGTGTTGGCCAACACATTAGCGTGCATTGTTCAATTATAATTATATTTAATTAATCTAAAATGCGAGATGTATAACAATTATTATAAAATAAAATTACTTCTAGACAAAAATTCTTACTTTACTAAATAACAATTTTCAATAAACATTTTTATTAATTATACCTGATGATTTATTTTAAATGTTCACCTAAAATATTTTAAGAGTTGCATTATTTCAAAAAAAGTTTTCGACAAAAGTTTTCAGATAGCCAAATCTACTGAAAACA